GAGAGGGATGGTTGCGTGAAAAAGAATTTGGGTTGCGCCTCTGGAAAGTTGGAAGCCTTGGAGAAATAATACGCCTTCAGCTGACTCCATAAACCCAAGGTACCCGTCGGGCCTAACTCAGTATTACCAAACCTGAGAGCCCCCTCCTCCCAACCTGAGAAATTACCCATTCCGCCTGCGACCATGCCCCCTAACGAAACCCAGGGCCCAGCCAGTCTAGGCATCCCCGCACCACGATTCCTCCGATCAAGTACAGGTGATAGACTGTTTGGTCTAATACAGGGAGCCTTCCAGATGCTTAATTATACAGATCCTAGCAAAACCCAAGAATGCTGGCTATGCCTGGTCTCAACTCCCCCTTACTACGAAGGGGTTGCAATAACGGGGGACCTTGTAAACTACACCACACCCCCAACATACTGTACTTCGACCTCCCAACATAGGCTAACTCTATCTGAAGTGTCTGGCCGGGGAATCTGTATCGGGTCAGTCCCCAAAACTCACCAAAAACTTTGCAACTCAACCTCCAGGATCCACCCAGGCTCCTACTACCTAACGGGCCCCAGTGGGACCTATTGGGCTTGCAGCTCCGGCTTAGCACCCTGTGTATCTGCATTAATTCTCAACCAAAACTCTGACTTTTGTGTCCTCATTGAGCTCTGGCCTAAAGTTGTCTACCATGAATCTGAATACGTCTACAAACATTTTGAGGGGATCACCCGGTACTCTAGGGAGCCTGTATCTTTAACTTTGGCCTTAATACTAGGGGGACTCACAGTCGGGGGTATCGCAGCCGGAGTAGGGACTGGTTCTGCTGCCCTGGTAGAAACTACTCAGTTCCGACAACTGCAACAGGCCATGCATACCGACTTACAAGCATTAGAAGAGTCAGTTAGTGCTCTGGAAAAATCCTTGACCTCCCTTTCAGAAGTAGTCTTGCAGAATAGAAGGGGGCTAGATATCCTCTTCTTACAAGAAGGAGGACTATGTGCAGCTTTGAAGGAAGAATGTTGCTTTTATGCTGACCATACTGGATTGGTAAGGGATAACATGGCTAAACTCAGAGAAAGACTCAGACAGAGACAGCAATTCTTTGAGTCAGGACAGAGCTGGTACGAGAGATGGTTTAGTCGGTCCCCTTGGATCACCACCCTGATCTCCTCCATTATGGGTCCCCTAATCATAATTCTCCTGATTCTACTAGTTGGGCCTTGTATCCTAAATCGGCTAGTTCAGTTTATGAAGGACCGGCTCTCCGTCATACAGACGTTAGTGCTAACCCAGCAGTATCATCAACTCAAGCAGCTGGAGACGGAGATTGACTCTCCCTAGACCTGTAGAATGAAGGATTCCATTCTAAGCTAGAAGAAAAATGGGGGAATAAAAGAATAAAGCCCTAGCATAATGCTGGCAACACTATTTTGCAAGACTGGAGCAGTGCAGGGTCAGAGGCAAGGCAGGACAGATGCCCAACGACAGGATATCTGCGGTTGGGCGCCTGAAACACTCTGGGCACCCAAGATAAGAACCGGGTACGTGACTCGGCTCACATCTGCCTTCCCGCCTTCCCTGTTCCGGGTACGTGACCTAACTATGGCTTTGTTCAAACTGCCCAATCAGATCCCTGTAACTATGCTTCTCGCTTCTGTAACCGTGCTTCTTGCTCCCGAGCCCTATAAAAACCCGTCACCCCAACCGAGAGGTGCGCAAGTCTTCCGAAAGGCTTTGTCGCCCCGGGTACCCGTGTATCGAAATAAACCTCTTGCGGTTTGCATCCAAAGACTGGTCTCGCTGTTCCTTGGGAAGCGGGGTCTCCCCGTCTAGAGAGGCTCTAGCGGGAGTCTTTCAAAGGGGAACAGGGGCTGTCTCTGATATGAACTCTGTGGCTGGCTCTTTGATCACCTCCCCCTGAGGGGGGGTGTGGGCAGCCTTACCAGGCCACAGAGGAAGGCAGCCAATCCTGATGAGAACTGATAGGCTAGGGTCAGATGAAAGGGGAGGAGGATCGCCTCTATCAGTGGACTGGGAGAGGGGCATGGGAGGAGAAGAGGGAGGAAGAGTGGAATTGGGAGATGAGGGATGGGGCCACAGTTGCGATACAAAGTGAATAAATTGAAATTAATAAAAAAAATTAATAAATTAAAAAATTCTTGGATCAGTTTCACTCTCCATCAAGCCATTCTTTAATCCTCAGTTCATTGACTATGATGTATCTACTCATACTCCTATCATCTCAACTTCTGCAGACCAGAATGTACCCTCACTTTTCTACACACATCCCTTTCTGGTCTCTACTCTGATGTTGCCAACCCAATGTCTCGTACATGGTCCCCTTGGCCTTTGTATCCTCCCTGCTCATCTCTGCCTTATATGTTCAGGACATGGTCTAAGTCCTGGTGTTCTCTCTTGAGCACCTGTTCAGATTCATACCTTTCTCAGAGCCCTGCCATTAGTGAGGGCTCTCATTATCTCCCATCAGGATTAATATGGCAGCCACCAGTTGGTCTTTCTAGTCTTCACTCAGATTAGCTTTATCCTGCTTGGGGCACTTCTAGTGCTCTTTCTAAAACCCATTATGCCACTTATATGCTCTCTGCCATGTAAGGACTAAGTTTCTCCTTCAGTGTCAAGACGTTCCAGAATTAAACTTCTCTTCCTTTATCTCCCTTTACCTCTCTCTGCTCTTCTTTCCCTCTCTTCCTCCATCTCTTCTCTCCCTCCCTCTTCTCCTTCCTTCTTCTACCTCCTCTTCTTGCTTTCCTATCCCCATGGCTCCTCTTTCCTCTTTTCTACTCCATCTTGCTATATAGCCTAGACTAGCCTTAATATTCAGTCCTTCCAACTCAACCTTTCATATACTTTAATTATAGGTGGTTGTTACTGTCCTTAGCTCTTGATCCTTCCAACCATACAGTTGGCCCAAGGTAGTAACCCATCAAGCCTTCTCTAATTTTTCCGGGACTTCTTGTCCAGAAGATGATTTCTGCTAGTGATTTCAGTTAAATACGCTGTTTTCAAGGATCCTAGCCCCAAGACACCCTTCTATAAGTATCCTTATCCTAAAAGTGACATTTGCAGAGAGGTACTTCCTGGTGTTTTTTTTGTATTAAACTAGGTGGTTACTATTATAGAGCCCATGTTTTATGTTCTTAGAGTCCCCAAAACCAGAAAGAGAGAGTTGTTCTGACCTTTTGGATGACACAGATTGAAAATCTCAGTTTGAATTCCAGTAGATTCTACTTAGAGTCTTGGAGGTATTGGGCTTTCAGAAATGAGGGTAGGAGAAGGGCTACACTTGGATTTCATGCCCTGGGGTGACTGGTTACCAGTGAGACTAGGGTAATTGCTAACAACTAGAATAACTGTGAACTATTACAAATGCCAGGAAGGGTAGTATGGTTTTCTATCCAATATGAACTCTAGAGGTGGGGTAGCTCAAATAAACCCAGGGTCTTACCTATTGAAGAAGATGGACCGAATATATAAGTTGATAAATGAGTCATCATTGATTTCTATGACTAACAAATCACCATTAATGTCTATGAATGACCAGCCAAGCTCTAGGCAGCACTGGCCTCTGACATGGGGAGAAATATCTAATCTTAACAGGTGTGCCCTTTGTGGGTTGTAACAAAGAGAACAGGCAGAGAGGTTTCAAAGGCTGGGCCCAAGGTAGACAAATGACTTATGGATTGGAGAGAGAGAGAGATGAAGAGAGGTGAAGAGGGGAGATAGAAACTGGGGTAAGTGATCTTGTTTCTCTTCTCATCGGGGAAACATGAAAGGCTTTTCTGTAGGCACAGTTCTAATTCTCGGGAGTGAATAGTATCCATTTAGTTTTTGAAATGATTTAGTCTGACATCTTGTTTAATGTCCATTTCAATGGCTGTTTTATGCTCAAAGTGTGGCAAATTGAACCTTTTGTTGGGGCTCTTCAGGCTTCTCTGATTGCCACCATGAATGACTCAACTGTGAACAATAACAAAGGTACGTGTGTCTTCTCTTTAGAATAACAATACCTGGCCGAGAAGGGAAATAATGGAGCAGATGCAGTAATTGGAAGGGTAACACCTTGATGTTCATTTTAATTCCAGAGTCATAGGAAATGCTGTTAAATTAAACACCAGCACTTATCGCTAAAATTGGAGAAATGAAATGTCCAATAACTCTATGTACCAAATAGTAGCATCCTTGGCACAACAGGGTTCATGAAAGGTACTGTAATAGAGCATATTAGGCAAAGGCTGGCTCAGGTGCTGTGTGCTCATGGAACTGTGAGTGCATAGAGCTGAAACAGACAATTGTTTCTGCTTGGCTAAAAAAAAAAAAAAAAGCCATAAAAACCAACACCGAGAACCTAGCCAGTTATACAGTTCACAAGAGAACAAGAGGCAACATGGCCAGTGAGAGACATTTAAGCAATGACCTCTACTCCTTCATGGGGTGCTATGATGCCTGCTGATGGATAGGTGAGAGGGGAGCATCTCAAAAAATGGGTAACTGTTTCATAAGTTCAAAGGTCATTTTCCTGTCTGCCACCGCAAGAAGATGTCTACTAAGATGAGGAACAGTTCTGCCCACTCTAAGTGGGAGTCCACACTGATTAATTTAGGTAAAACAATCAACTCTTCACTCTCACATCGCATTCTTTTCGAGTAAACTTTACAGTCAATTTCACCCCGCTTATAGCAATTTTTATGACTGCTCTGTAAAGTGGGACAGAAATCACTACTATAATTTAGCAGATGATATCACTACTAGAATTTTTCAGATGACATCACTACTATAATTTTTACAGAGGAGAAAAGTAAAGGCCCAAGAAATCGATTTCAGGTCTCTTGAGTAGAGAGGCGGGATCAGATCCCGTGGCCCAGCTGCTCAAGCCTCCTTTCTGGCTAGTAGACCGTTGACAAACTCTATGAGTTCTGCTGCTTCGGCTGCGGCTCAGGGCTGGAACACACACCCACTGCCCCCAGGGTCAGCACGGGGCCCACGAGTACCTGCAGTGCCATTGTAGCCTCCTATGCGGAGCTTGTACAGGCTTCTGTTGTCCTCCACTGCAAACTTGTCATAGTAGGCAAAGACTGCCTCCTGTCCATCCCGCATATCCACACGCAGCTCATAGTGGCCCTGGGCTGTTATCCTGTGGATGTTTTCCAGCCCTGTGGAGAAGTACAGACTGAATATTGAGTCTCACCCCAGCATCTTTAGCAATCGGAGAGAAGCACGTGCTATGGACTAGGGGTGGGCCATCCACATTGTTCTGCCCTCCACTCTTCTCAGGCTGATGTCAAGCAGTCCCTGCAAGACTCTGAATACCCTGCTGTGAGGAGGCCATCCCAGGTCTGCTGAGGCTCGAGCCTAACATGTAGTCTTTTCTCTGTAACTGACAAGCCCCAGAGCTCAAGATTCTTGGCCCTGTTCCCCATAATCTTCTATGCTCAGTAATGGTAGCAAAAGATCAAGAAGCCTTGAACAGGTGTGATTCTTCTGGTTTGAGTTGTAGGAAGCAACTGTCAGAGCATCCAAGATATCCAGACACAGTAGGGTTTCCTTGCAGACTACAGAGAAGGCTCAGTCCACCTTGCATTATGCTGCCCTCCTTCTGCCCAGGTAAGAGAAACAGAGTCCTAGGCTTGTGATAATTGACCTTTTGAATTTCCCATCTTATGGTGGAATTAGAGCTATCTGCGTTTGTTAGAAACTGCACTTTGGATCTGGGTCTTTCTCTAGGCTAGGGGTATATTGTATTGTATTCTCTCCTTAGGTGGGACATCAGCCATGAGGCACAGCTGTCAGTCAATCATGCGAACAGAAGGACAAACAGCCACACTCTGGAGGGTGCTGTGTAGCTAACCTGTAATTTTTGGTAGATTCCTATATTGAACACTAAAATCATTAGTGTATTAAAGCTTATCAACAGTTTTCATTGGATAAGCACTTATCAGGGTATCAACCCCTATCATAAGTTGAGATGCACCTCTGTTGCCCTTTGCCTCTTGACTCCAGGTCTTTTGTGTGTCATCCATACGCTACATCTTTATCTACTACTTCTCCCTCTTTACTGGTCTTTCTAAACTCCCACTCACTCAATCTCTAAGCATCCCAGGCCTTGGGCTAAGAAGTTCTTCTAAGGTACAAAACTCTCTAAGTCCAGGGTTCAGGCAGAGCCTATTTTCTCATATCCATTTTCTCTGATTTTGACCAACCTACCTAAGCTGGGGACTCTAAGACTTTCAGCAGAGCTGGAGCCTTTTGCTTTGACATGACATCAGTTATTTGTCTTATATGGTTTAGAACTAAAAAGTGGTAGATGTGCAAGGAAATTTGGAGATGACTTAAACCTCCCTCTTCATTTTGTGGGAGAGTTCAGAGAGTGAAGTGAGCAGACAAGGGCCCAGGTCTTTGGTTTCTTTACCTGCTTAAGATTTAAAACTTTAACTTGATTGCAAGCAGAAAGGTGTCAAATGTTTGTGGAGCTCTGACCCACAGCCTGTCCTTGATCTGTGCAGTTGTGCTGTTTGCTGGTGGTGTTGTGCCTGGACACCCTTAGTCAGCTGGCAACCCAACCCCTGCTAGAAATGTGAGAATCACTCACTAGCGGCCTCTTTGATGCCTAATTTCCCCTGACCGGATGAGACTCACCCCTTCCTTCTCCTCATGACTTGGAGCAGACTCTGGTTAATGAAGTGGAGTTTCAGAAGACTAGCCTCCTTGTCCAATAGGGACCTGCTCAGAGGAGTAATTCATGTTCCAGAGTATCTCTTGGACTCAGTCTAAAGGGAGTCTTCAATCAACACTCAGTTACAATTTTTCTGGATCTCTCCTTGTCCTTTCAATTCTCTTCTCAGATAATTCGGATCAATAGCTCACTTTAATATGAAGACTTCATCCCAGTAAATAACCTGAATGAGAATCTCCATTGTAGTCTCTGGTCCTAGATAACACAACTTAGAACATAAGCTATGTGGTCGTAGGGTTACTAGCCACAGGGTATCGCTGCCTAACCGCATAGCTTCAGGTCTTGCTGCTGCTGGCAAACTGTCTTATAGTGGTTCATCTTCATTGCTACCTTGACTGGATTTAGAAGTACCTTTGGACGTAAGCCTTTGCATCTGTCTGTGAGGGACTATCTAGATTAGATTAACCCCTGAATGTGGGCTAGAATCACTTGGGATCCTGAACTGAATTAAAAAGGAGAAAGGGACTGGGTTCTAGCATTAGTCCCTCTCTGCCTTGTGTTCCAGATGCAACGCGACTGACTGCTTCCTGTGTTTTTGGCCATGCCTGACGCCATGATGGTCTGGATCCTCAAACTAGGAGCCAAAATAACCCTTCCTTCCTTCCTTCCTTCCTTCCTTCCTTCCTTCCTTCCTTTCTTTCTTTCTTTCTTTCTTTCTTTCTTTCTTTCTTTCTTTCTTTCTTTCTTTCCTTCTTGTTGCTTTAGCTGCTTACTTTGTTGCTGCAGTGGGAGAAATAACAACACAGCCCATAGCTCTTTACTTTAAACAATGGCTTCACCGTGCCTCTCAATGAGCCCACCTGAACAGGCGTCTTTCCTTCTCTGACTGGTTCCTTTCATCTGGTTTAAGGGCTTGCCTCCCTGTCCCCAGTTTGCATGTGTCAAAAGGATTTTTGCTCTCCTTCCTGCCCTACTTTCCTCTTTTCCATTCTCCTGATCCTCAGTGTCTTAGCTCTCGTCCTTTTCTGATTCCTGGGGCTTTTTCATCAGTATTTCATCAGTCAGTCTGGGTTATTTACCAGTGTGAAAGGGCATCTCTGATGATATGAGACACATTGCGGGAACAAGGTGCTAAATAACCTTGAACAAATAGGGATGGTTCCACATTTCTAGTTCAGCTTTTTTTAAAAGATGAAAGTGAAACTGTAGCCCTGACCCTAATCTTAACTCCCAGTCTCAGCTTTATTCTAGTATTTCACAGTCGGTTGAACAGAGATCACTTTCTGATCATCACTCTCAGCAGCAACAGCAGCAGAAACAGCAACAATAGACTTGGTGTTCCTGAATGTAACCACCATTTAATCATATTACTATTGCTTTCTTTTCACTCTTCATTTTAAAATGATACCTTTACTTTTGAGGCATCTTTTTATTTATGGCACACAGCAGCTAGCTTTCCATGTTGACAATGGCTAAAGCTTCTTTAAAACATGTATTTAATTAAATAGAGAGTGATATATAGGACATCTCAGTGCTGAATGGCCCACATGTTTCACAGAAATGACAGAAACTGTGAACATGGTACCCAGTAGTTTAGGCTTTTGTAGAAACGAGTCTTGACTACTTATGTCTACATTGATTCATGTGTATTACTGACTCCCAAGCTGTTTGAAAATGTTTTAAATTGAAGCACATTTTCTTGCTTATTTGAATTCTCTCTCGGTGTTTTTAAGTGGCTCTTACCTTACCTTTTTATTTCCTGTATTGGCAAACATAGCTTTGGCTATTTAACATATACTCAATAAATTCTTATCATTGATTGATATCTACACTTGAGGTACATATATCGCAGGAAGTCTTAGGTAGATGTTTAAAGATGGATGGTGAATCCTAGCTCCCCAAAAACATTTAATATAAACTAGACAGACAAAGTAGAATTGACACCATGATTTAAACCATACCAGAGAACATGGCCAATTATCCCACAGGCAATGAATGAAAGAAAGAGTCAGTATGGCTTCTATGATGGAGGAAGAAGGGCTTAACTGGGCCTTTGAATATAAGTAGGTAGACACCAAGGTGTCAGGAGGATGGGAAATTGGCTGAAGGAGCATTTCTTGCAGAAGAAACTTCAGTGGTTGTGCAGGTTTGAAGGTGGATGCTGGGGAAGTGGGAAAGGTGCTTGGTGGTAGACAGAAGGAGAGAAGGAAGTCTTGTACCTTGCTAAGGAGCCTGGGCTTTACCGGGTGGTGATGGGAGTCACTGAAAGGCTTGACCTTTCAGTGTTACCCTTCCCTCAGATTTGGGGTATGAGAAAGATCATTCTAGTGGCCATGTAGACCGTGGAGGTGATCCTGGAGACAGGGATCCCATCTGGAAGGCTGTTGCTTGAACAAGAATGTGGCAGGGGTGGGAGAAAGAAGAGTACAAGTATCCAACACTATCATTTCTTTGAATCTCCCTCTGCCTCCCCTTATCAGCCATTAGGAAAATCTTACAGAGGAATGTGTAAACCTCCATTTAAAGTCCCCGCTGTGTCAGACCTAGGACATCCCCTCTAATGCCACTCTCATTTCCCCCCTTTCCCTCCCAAGTCAGATAATAACACTCTCTCAGGAACGCAGCAGAGTGTCATTTCTCTCTTGACCTGCAGGCAGGCTGGCTGGTTCTTAGCTTCCTAGAGGGGGCCAGTCTGCCCATTGCTTCCCATGCTCGGTTCCCTACCAGGCAGATCCCTGCCTTTGTACTTGCCTCATGTCAAGATCCATCAGCATAAAAGACTATTAATGAGGATGGGAAGAGACAGAGCAAAGAGGAAAACACCACAGTCAGATGAAAACAGATCAATAGAGGAGCCAAACAGAGCAAGAGGCACAAAAGCAATTCACAAGCTGTCAGCTTCTCAATGGACACAGACTTCTGACAATCTCAGACAGACACAGAAAGGAGAGAGATGGACAGAAACCCACAGCCTATCCACGGAAAACACAAGGTGGATGTTACCTAGCCAAAACTCGTCCTCCAGATTTCCAAATCCAACACGATAATCAGCCCATTTCCGGAAAAAATCAGTCTGGCCATTTTGCCGCCTCTGGAATACCTGTGAAGAGAAAGAGAGAGAGGAGATGCTCTGAAAAACAAGAATTAATAATTGATAAGTGAATATGACTGGGTTCAGTATCATCCAGGATCAGGGCCATTTTAGAAGCGGGCTTAATGTTTCCATGGCAGATTTTTGTAGGGGATGCTTGGAGCCCTTTTTATTGAAGTACTGATACCTCTGACAGATAGGCTTGGGTGTATGATATAGACACTAATTTGCACCCCTGCAATATAGAAAAGATTTGGGATACATATCAAGCTCCAAATAGTCAGGGGAAATGGGCTTGATTCTCCAATTAATCTTTTTGCACCACAGAGAGTAGTAGAAAGCATTTCTCACCAAAGGACTGGGACCAACTTCAAATCATCTACTCACTGTCATCATCTTATTGCAGGCAAAGCAATTGCATATCATTCACTTTCCAAGCTGTTTAAGTGCTAATTTCATTTAACCTCCAATACATCAGCCTTGGCTTCAATTTCCAATTATGCTTTAAGGAGGAGGCACAAATATGCCAGAAACATAAAAGAAAATGTCTCCCAAGAGTATTATGAGTACAGTCACCATTTAACTCTTCAAAACCTTCCCATTTTGGATCACGAACGCTCCAGTGCTGTACCTGAGCAGTGCTAGGAAGGTATGCAAAGGAGGGTGGGGGGGCCGAGTTTCCTTTCACACCAGTTCAACCCCTGTTGCTTGGTCTAGAGCCAGGGCCTCGCTCGGGTGCATAGTGGCTAGCATCTCCAAGCTGCCCTATTTCTTCTGCTCTGTACTACTGATCAGGTATGAGAGGAGATGGTGTCAGCGACCACTGCTGCTTCCCGAAAGTTATGGCAGTTCTAGGGAAGAAGAAGGGGTCCGGAACAGGATGAGGACCATCCATAGTTTGCCCTAGATGTGATCTATTATATACTACTCTCTCAGATAAAGAAACTAACTGCCCCACCATGGGAAGCTCAAGTGCTTCTTTAGGATTGCCTCCTCTTCTCCTCTTCATTTTAGCATCAGCCCTTGGCAATCAGGATCATCCACTTGCCTCGCTCCTTCTTTTCCCCCAGTACCCCTTGCATTCCTCTGTTTGTAAAAGGAGCCCAAGGCAAGGCCGCCATCTTGTAGCCCTTCTTTGGGTTGGGCCAGTAATTCCTTCGTATGTGACCTGGTTAGTTTTTAATCAACTTGACCCAGCACAGAGTCAGTCACCTTGGAAGAGGAAACCTCGACTGAAGAATTGCCTCCACTAGATTGACCTGTGGCCGTGTCTATAAAGAATTTTCTTGACTGAAGTGGGAGGGGCCAGCTCACTGAGTATAGCACCATCCCAAGGGAGGTGGGTCTGGGCTATATAAGAAAAGTTGATGAGCATAAGCCAGTGAGAGAGCCAGTAAGTAGAATTCCTCCATGCTTTCTGCTTTCGTTTCTGCCTGAGTTCCAGCCCCCACATCTCTCAATGATGTGACCTGAAAATATAAGCCAGGGAAACACTTTTCTCCCCTATGTTGCTTTTGGTCATGGTATTTATTACAGCAGCAGCATAAAACTAAAGAGGAAAGTATGATCATTCCTTTTTCTGCTTGTGAGCGGGCTACTGAATGAGGGTCACGAAGGCAGTGAAGAGAAGAGACCAAGATCCAAATGAGGGGGGTAGATAAAAGGACAGCTCAAAGGATGGTGACATGGTAATGCGCAGGTGGCCAGCCAGGCAGACTAGGAGCCTGAAGACTTGGGCCTACAGCGTGTACTTACAATCCAGCCACCTCCATCTGTGGCCATGTCACAGTATACTTGCAACTTGTGGCTTAGCTCCCCATTGAGGAAGATGGTGTAAACGCCACTCAGAGTGTCTCCGTTCATCAAATGCTGGGCGCAGTCTTGAGGATGAGAGAACATCCGGCCCCCTACAAAAGAAAAGTGGTAAAATTTTTATACTTATTTAGTGTGTGTGTGTGTGTGTGTGTGTGTGTGTGCGCGCGCGCATGCGCGTGCCTACCACGTGCCTGCATTCAGGCCATAGCATCCATTTGGAGTCAGAGGGAGCCAGTTCTTTCTTTCCACCATTGGGTCCCAGAGAATGGAACTCAGGTTGCTAAGCTTGGGCAGCAAATACCTTTTACCTGCTGGCCAACTCATCAGCCCCAAAGCAATTTTTAGAAATCATTATTTTTCCATTAGGCACCAGACCTTCAGGTCACAAGAGGTTTTAAAGAGTCCCATGGTTGGTACTTCTTCATGAGTTGTAAGAACTTCTCAGTGAATTCAGATGGTGTGAAGCCTGAACTCACGTTGGACTCACAGACTCTGAGGACCAAAGATCTGGGTACTCTGGTTACCAATTTGCTTGACTATAAACTGAAGGTCTTGAGCATCCTCTTTCTTGTCAGTAAAATGGGGTGATGAGGACTTTGCCCCTGGCAGCATGAAGGTGAGTTAACACCATTGATGACTGTTTAGAGAAAGGCCAACGAACCACTTCAGGGACCTTTCAAAAACAGGAAGGCATCTGAACAAAGGCTGTGTCATCCGAAGCGCAGCCATTAAGGGATGCCCAAATGAGCTCAGCATTAGCAAGGAGATGAATGTCTAGCCCTTGTACAAAGCAATCTCTTGATTGTACTGAACAATCAAACGGCCATGTTTTACAGTTCAGTTTTAATTCAAGGAAAGGGCAGGGGAAGTAAATTGCAGCTCATCTTTCAGAAGGAACAGCCCAATCTGTAAAACAATACCTAATTAGCTGGAAGAGAAGCTTAAATCCTGAAACGCTTTACTCTGAGATAAGTTTTGTGCTTATCAGGCAGGCTGAGAGCAGTCTACCAGAGGGACTTTGCTGAGAGGGCAAGTTAAAGGCACAGCCCACCCTGCGAAGCAAGGTGGGTGGAGCGCTCCGTAAATGTGGGCTTCTGGGTCAATGAAGGTTAGCCACCACAGCGCCCCCTGGTGGTATTGCCCGTACACCGCAAATGTGGCACTTGACGGTGTCCCTTGGAAAAAAAAGCATGTCGGTGAACCATTTAGACATAGCATGTAACACAAGGAAGCTGAGACATGAACTTTACTGAGCGGCCCTGTCACAGGTTATCTGTAAGATGTTCCGAGCTAGGAAGAAGCCACTGAAGTTTCGTAGTCTTCATGTGAACCCTCAACCTCCATCCCCCACCTCCCACCCTCCCCGCAGATCTAGAGATGTACTAATTCTGAGGACTATATTCCAGATTGCTGCCACACCTGCCAAAGCAGTTTGGTGGAACAAGACACTTCAAGCAGTGTCCCACCAAGGAGTTGTGATTTGTGTCAATAAAACCCACACTTCACTAGGTGTATTCGTGTTTCTGTGCAATTCTTGTGAGAAACTTTGGAGGAGGACAAGTCAGAAAGATTACATAACCGGCTGATTCAGGTGGCTTGAGTTCAGGTTTTCAGGGCTCAGTCAAGTGTACTATAAAATACATTAAAAGAAGAAATAAAACCATGGATAGAGAGATGGCTCGGTGCTTAGAAACATTTGCTGCTCTTTCAGAGGACCCAAGTTTGGTTCTCAGCACCCATATCAGATGGCTTTCAAACACCTGTCATTCCCGCTCCAGGGGATTTGATGCCCTCTTCTGGTCTTTGTGGGCACCTGCACACATGTGGTTTATACACACAGACATAAACACATATGCAAATAAAAATATGAAAGAAGTCTTCATCTAGCCAAGGATTAATTGATTTCTGCATTTAACATACAAGCATATAATACTCCAGGTGTTAAAGTTGTGCCAGAAAGCATTATGTTCAAATTAAACGTTTTCCCTTCAAAACTGACGTGTAGTAGCTTCAGAAAGGCTAATGAATTTTATTTCCAGCACGTGCTAGACCTCCTGAAAGCTCATATCTCACCTTTCCCTGGGATTTCAGGGGACTGGTATGAGTGGCTTCTGTCCCCTCTCTGTGTTGCTTTGGGAACACTGGCCTTATTTCCAGTTGTCTAGTCCATTCTTGACTCTGGTCTCTTCAGCAACCAGCCAGCCTGCCTGCCTCTTCCTATCTCCTCTCTCACTGCCTGTGGTTCCTCTTTTAGGTCAGCACATAATGTTCTTGGTCTGCCACTCTGTTGCTTTGTGCACTATTTCTCCCAAAGGAAGAGAGCCTCATTAAACCAGCCCAGCTTATTAGGGAGATAGAACTCTGCATTTCTCAGTACAACGTGGATCCCCCACAAAATCCTTTCCCCGAAACCCAGCACATTCAAATACACACAAAACCAAGCCTACATGCAGAATAGAGACATAAGCAATTTTACATAAACCCCTTCTCCTTCATTGATAACATGAACTAAAGTTCATGCAAATAAAAATATGAAAGAAGTCTTCATCTAGCCAAGGATTAAT